TTTTTTTTTTTTTCTTTTCTTTTTAACTTTGAATTTTAGAATATTTTAGTAATTAAAACATTGGATATAACTAAAATAAAGAGATGCATAAGTTGATTAAGAGTGTTCGAACCTAAATAAACACGAACTCGGAACGCTCAAATTTCGATTCGTTCAATTTGATTAATTTGGGCATTTTTTTTTTGTTTTGGTATTATGATGTTTCTATATAAAATTAACACTTAAAAACATATTATACTAATTAAATAATAAAATAAAAAAAGATCAAAGCTCCCATTTGTGACCATTTAAACTTGTACATAGCCTCACTGTTTTAATTATCAATATGGTTTTTTAGAAAATTGGTATACTATATATGCTTTTTTTTTTCTTTTTTCTATTTATTTTGCAAGTCAAAATACTTTTTTATTAACAAATTTGGAATTTATATGGTTTACACTTTACAAAATCAATTGTTAATACAAATCATGTTCGTTCACAAAGTATAACGAGTAAACCTGTCTAACAATTAAAATTGCGAGCGTAGAGCACTAAAAGCCCCTTTAGCTAATTACTGGGTGTGTAATATTAGCCCAAAAGCAAGAGTTATTGGGCCTAAAATACTAACCTAGAATTTGAATTTTATGTTATTTTTAGAGTTGCAAATGCTAAGTGGAACTTTAATCTACATGGCAACACTAGGTTCACTTCAAGTGAATAACAATAATAATAAGTGCACAATTAAACTTCCCACAAAAATATAAAATTAACTCAGAAAGTGCTTTTACAGGGACGGCCCAACAATAGTTTATAAATTTTTTCTGGGCCCAAAGTTTATGGTGTGGGCACATGAAAATCAATAAAAAAGGGCCCATTATAATGTCCTCCACGTTAGGGGGGGTCCAAGCCCAGTAGCCAGTAGGTTTTACCTCCAAAATTGTACCAATAATAATAAAAAAAATAAAACTGAATAAAAATTGTAAACCTAATAAATTAATGAGTTTGACAAAATATACTACTGAGACTACTGAGGAGGCAGGTCTGAGCCTAGCTGGTATAAAGAAATATTATTTATTTTCAAAAAATTGTTTAATATATTGTAAAACATATGATATTTTGTGATATAGGTATTATTTCTATCAAAATTGTTCCACTTATTTAATTTTGACATGTTAAGTGAATTGAGTTGAGTCAATTTTTGTAAAGGGCTGCTGTATCAGCTAATGTGATGAAGATATAAAAATCAATATATATATCAACCCTTATTTTGTGAGACACATTATAGTTATTAGATAGGTAATATTATTTGTGTAAAAAAATTATATTTATATTATTAAATATTTGTTTATCACATGAACTGCCCCACATTATTATTTGTATAAAAATCAATATTATTTGCATGGGCGGACGCAAACTTTAAAAATAGCAGGTGCACAAATTACGGTCAGTGGTCAACATCGAAAGTCAATGGTCAAATCAATATTTAACTATTTTAAAAAAAGTAATAAGATTAAATCTTGACCGAACACATTTTTTTTTTTTTAATAATTAGAGTTGAGTCTCACATTTGATTTGAAGAATAGAGTATATACATTTATATATAATATTTGTTTTTCCTGTGTATTTTGGGATGAAAAATGAAATAAACAAGTAGTTGAGTATTTCATAAACATAAATTCCACAATTTAAAAAATAATATATTGGTTAAATAATTTTAATCATTTTTTTATTTTTTATATTTAAATAATTTGTATATTAATAATAACGTGTATTTTTTATGTCAATAGAATAATATATTTATACGTAATATATATATATATACACTATTTTACTAAAAATTCTACAGGGGCTGTGCCCCTACGGGCCCCTATGTAGATCCGATGTTGATTATTTGTAGCGTCGAATTTTCACATTGCTCATTATATTTTTCTTTGTTTAAGGGAATTAACTGAAAAGTAGTTTGTAACTTATGGAAAATCTTTCTTTTTTTTTTCGGTACATTTGTGTTGTGTTTGGCAAATTATCTTAGTTTGATTTTAAATAAAAAAATAATAATAATAATAATAATAATAAAAGAAGGAAAAAAAAAGGAACTTAAGAACATTCAATTTTCCTGCAAATATAATGAGCGAAAAAGCACTGAGTTTCAGTGACCAATTATTGATGTTTTTAGGTATATTTCTCTCTCAAATGCGGGCCATATTAATATGTTTCGTGAAATAGATGTGGGATTTACTGGCACATTAATTTCTTTTATGTATTTTATATTGAAAATCGTAATAAGTTTTAAATAATTCAAACAAATTACAATACTTGTAATTATACGGAATATATCTCAATAATTTTTAAAATTTCTAGGAATTTATAAAATAAAATACTTGAAAACGTACGTACCCTCAACTATTTCCAACTAATAAATATATATCAGATTTTTTTTTTAAAAAAAATGGCAGCATGATAGCAGTCAATTTCGTGAAGACTGGACCCGAATCGAACCGAATCAAATCAGGCCGCCCGATTATGACAAGAAACACACTTTTCGCCTTTCTAAGACAAAAAAGCTTTTCTTTCAACTCTTTACAGTCAGTTTTTGTAGTGCTCCTCGCTTTATTTTAGACTATGTTTTATGTTTTTAAGTATTATAAATTGTTTCATTCTTAATAATAAGGTTGCATCACGTTTAGCCGATTGCAGTGCAATCATACATTTCCTAGTTCTCTTGAAAATAACAACATTCAATTTTCCTGCAAATAGCTTATCATCATCTTCTTCTTCTTTGTAATAACTTGAGTGTCGTATTTCCGGGACACCTTATCGGCCTCTTTTTGCAGGTCATTTTCAACCATTCAAGTAGATCGGAGCTTTCAACCAGTCGGTTCGACCTAGAACCGATGTTGGGAATTCCGACCACACCGAAACTCCGCCCAAGATCCGCTGGAAATAATAAAACTGGAGAACACAAAGTTTAACGTGGAAAACCCTCTGTTAACGAAGAGGGAAAAACCACCAGGGCAACAAGGCCGTAGAAAATCCACTATGTAAAAATTACACAATTTTTCTACACTCACTTATACCCAATATTACCCCACAGAATTTTCTATCCGTTAACCTTAACTCTCAGCCTAAGGGATTTTTAATTAGAGATTAATTGTTAACACAATAACTCTGTGGGATGATTTAACATAGGAAGTAGCACCTTCTTAATTGTTATCACCCACGGAACCCACTCATTCGCCAGGAAGACTTTCGACACAAGGCACACGGATCTACCGGCCCTTCCGGCTCCACGGGGAACATGCCACGTCATCCACATCGTAACTGGGCTACCAACCGTGGCTCTGATACCAATTGTTAGAATCAACAATTCAAAACCCTGTTCTCCATCAAGCCCAAATGAGGTTCTACTCTAAAACCAATTGGCAATAGAGGGAGTAGCCCACTAAGCTTATATATTGAACTTGAACCCATTAATTTTCTGATGTGGAATTGGGTTTGCACACCCAACAACCGAGCCATAGAAGCTACCCCATTTCCTATTTCAAAATGCATATTACTCTAGAAAAGCTTATCTTACCAAGAAGTATAATTATGTAATTTTTCCACTTCGTTTGGAACAATAAATATATACATGTGAGATTTGCTGACTTATCAGTCGTCGACAGGATAAATTCATGCTCCTGTTATCCACATTTTTATAATTAAAACAAATTAATCAACGGCTAAAAATCTCTATTAAAATAAAATTAATGATTCCCTCTTATTTTATTATTTTATTATTATATATATCACTTTCAATTCCCACACTCACTCACTCTCTCTCTCTCTCTCTCTCTCACACACACTATGGCCTCTCTCTATCTCCAACTGCTACTCCTCATAGCCTTGGTTTCCCCAACATTATCTGATCCAACGGCCAAAACCTACATCATCCGAGTCGACACTTCATCCAAGCCGTCCGTTTTCCCCACTCCCCACCACTGGTAC